TTGTCAAGGTTATCTTTTCTTTTTCTCAGCATAAGAAATAACAACTTGCTAATTTTAATTACAGGCCACAATGTTTTCCTTTAGTTAAGATCCTGATGCTGCTGAGACTGGTTTGGCTCAATGGATAGAGCGTCGGCTTGGGGACTGAGGGGACCCGGGTTCGATTCCGGTCAAGGGCATGTTCCTTGGTTGCGGGCATATCCCCGGTGGGGGGTGTGCAAGAGGCAGCTGATTGATGGCTCTCTCTCATCGATGTTTCTAGCTTTCTATCTCTCTCCCTTCCTTTCTGTACAAAATCAATAAAATAGATTAAAAAAAAAAAAAAGATCCTGATGCTACTTCACATGAAAATAATAGCAAACACAAATAGCACTTCCTATGCCACGCACCTTTCTGAGAGCTTTTCAGGTAATGACACTTACAGGCATTATTACACATGACAGTTGAGGGAACTAAGGATCAGGGAAGTTAAGTAACTTGTGCAACAACACAGTAACAGTGAACCTGGGATTTAAACCAGGGCAGTCAGGTTCCAGATTCTGTGTTCTCAGTCACCTGCCATTTCTCTTTTTTTAACACAAGGTCACTTTTATGTAGTTATGTTTTATGAAAGACTAAGGAAAATGGAAGAATTTGAAGTTTCATTCCAGTAACCCACGTAGATTTTACTTTTACCTCATTTAGAAGTTATTTTACACATAACTTTCAGAAACATATCTATTGTACAGTTATATCAATTTTTTAATCCAAAGAACATAGTACAAATTTATTTTAATAAGGCTTAGAATCAGAATTGGTAAATGAAGTCATGTATTGAAAGTCTTAAATCCATTTTGAATATTCTATTTCTTTACCTAAAACTAATAAAGTCTCATATCATAGATTGGCTGTCTCCTATACGCCCTCTACTGGGGACTGAGCCCACAACCTGGGCAAGTGCCCTGAGCTGGGATCGAACTGGTGACCTCTTGGTTCCTGAATTAAAGTTCACACACTGAGCCACACTAGCTAGGCTGCTTGCTAATATTTTTTTAAAACTATGTCCAGATACATATCAGTTTGGAAGTTCCTGAAAATTAATGAGCAAGCAATTTGCTTTGTGTTTTTCTCTATTTAACTATCACAGAAATACAATGATCTTTGAAAAAAACACTATAAGTAAAAGTTTGGAAATGTTGCTACCAGAAGAGACAACAAAATAAAGTTAGAAAATTCATAAACATACATTTATTCAGGAAATACAATTACTTGAGTTCTTAATATTTCAATGACCATTCCACATTATAAAATATTCACATGTATTCTTTTAAGTCTACACCGTCATGCTGACATTCTTTTCAAATAAACCATAACCATTTCTTCCATTAAATGCTATAATATCCATTTAAATTGTAAACAAAGTACTTGAGCCAAACTATGTTAAGCATCTGGAACAAAATAATTTCCAAAAATTTATAAGACAATTAAAAAAAAACCACACATTTCAATTATCAAACCCCAAAGAATTAGGCCACTATAATCTAGTATATTGCTAACAGATAAAGTGTCCCATGTTAAGACAACACATAATTATCAATGACTTTATTTCTCATCTGCAATTTTTAAACATGCTTTTCCAAATGATAAACATTTATTTTTGTAAAATTTAAAAAGGCAAAAAGAGCAAAAAGATGGCAGACATTAAAAGTTTAAATTACTTGCAAATTTTATTACTTTTTTTTAAAAGACTATAATTATTTCCAAAATAAAGAATGCCAAGTACCTTTTATTCCTAAAGAAATTAAGAAATATAACCAATCATTGTATCTGCTACTTAATAGTAGCTATAAATTGTTCAATTCTGATACTTTCAAACATAGTCCAGTGTATTTACAGCATTTTATAAAGGGGAAAATTAGTGATTCTCAGCCGTATGTGTCTTTCAAAACCACAGGAAAAGCTTTAAAAAAACAAGAATCTGGTCCCACCTCCAGAGATTCTGACTTAGTTGGTGTCTGCAGGATGTTCTAATATACAGCTAAGGTTCAGAATCAACCCATTTTGAAATACCTCTCCCCTTCCCCCTGCCAAAAAAAAAAAAAAGGAACTGGGGAGAGGGGATAATTATATTTATATTTCACAAATCAAACATCTATTATATACTTACTATGTGCCTGGTTATGTTCATGAATTATACATTGATTTATAAAATGAAAAATTCCTTCATTTCCTCACAATAGCAAACTACTACTTACTGTACATCTTTGCCACTGAATGATTAAATTTTCTATGGTCAGAATTTAAAATTCTGGGATACACTATGAAAACTGTTTTAACAAAAACAAACTACTGCTACTCATGCTTAACAGTAGCAAGCAAAACTAGTGTATTTGGCTCCTTTAAGCTATCTTTATTTTAAGAATTATAAATAAGCGCCAACCCACACAAAGAACAGATTGTGGATTACTGTAGAAGAAAAAAAAAATAGCTTACTCAACTTATTAAGTTTCAACACCAAAAAAGATTTAACTTGGCTGCAAGTTCTGAAACAGCTGAGATACTGAACCAGGAAGCTATAATTTATAATGAAATGTTGACACGCCCTTAAAAGCTACTGCAGCTGTAGCTATACTAAAATAAGGTTTCTTTAGGGTTTACTTTGTAATGCAAGAATACGAGCATAACAACATTAGTTTTATATGCACCAATACCTCTCTTTATATATAAAACTCTACAAGAAATACCTCTAATAATTTTACAATTAAATTAAGCCCATAATTATTCTACACTACTTTGGTCTCAACATTTTAAAAACATTAATTAATTTTGAAAATATACAATTTAACAACATTCCTATTAATAACAAGCACATTTTGTAGTGGACTAAAGACACATCCAACCATGCAATCCAGTGTTCGATACCTAATGATAAATAACAATGCCAATTGACTATTATTCTGAAAAAACCACTGAAAACTGGAATAATCTTTTAAGACTCACAATGCTCACAAACATGCAAGAAAAAGTATACATTTATAGTCTTCTTGAAGGAATGTTTCAAAATGCCCACTTCTTATACAGGGTCTAAATTCCTTATATATTTCAAACCACTATCTTTTAAATCTTTCACTTAAAAATGTTCCTAAGTTATTCACTGAAAATGACCCTCAATTCTTTAATTCCAGCTTTTAAAAAGTTCAATCACAGTCCTTTACCAATAGCTGCCTTTCAGTAAAATAGTGACATCCAGTGGATAACTGAAAACATCTCTCACAATTCCTATCATATTTGAATCATAAACAAAGACCCCATCTCTAAATCAAACCATTGCAATATAAGTTCCTACTCGTCTCGACAATCTGCAGATTCTTATTCATAATTTCTATACATCTTATTACATATATCCTCCAATAATCAACCTCTTAAAAGTCCATGCTTTAAACGGAACTGGTAAAGTGTGTTAACTCTTGAGACTAATGAGATGAAAGTATTACTTTTTCATCTTTGCTTCTGCTATTTCCCACCACAAACTAAATGGCTCATCTCTAGGAATGAAAGGACCAAAATATAAAAAAATATATTTAAATAGAAATGAATAGCATTAAAAAAATTTGCAAAAGATGAAACCTGAACCTGTTTTTGCATTTGTAATTTGACATACTGTTGAATATAAATAGACCTAATCAGTAATGCTAACACACAAATTACATCCTCTTGCCTTGCTGCTCAAACACTATGAAAGAATACATATTTTAGCAATGATTGTTTCAGTGTTTAAAAACTTACTTTTATAAATCAGTACAAATGAGTATTCACTATACATTATGTTTAAATAATAAAAGTAAAAAACTTCCACTGTGCTATGACTTACCAATGATTATATATGTGTGTTTAAAGTACCAAATGCAGCAGCAATGCTAACAATGATAGTGTAATAGACTGCTGTAACTGAAACTGTCATTTTTTTTTTTTTTTTTTTTGAAAACTATAAAGAAGTTTTACAGGTTAAAAAAAAAGTAAGCAAATAAAGAATTCGAGAACTATTACTTTTTTTGGGGGGGTCCCTCAGCCCGACCTGCACCCTCTCTGTTCAGGAGCCCTAAGGGGATGTCTGACTGATGGCTTAGTTCTGCTCCACTGAGCTCGCCAGCTGTGGACCCGGCTCAGGGCTTCTGGTTGAGCAGTGTTCCCGTGTAAGCACACTGACCACTAGGGTGCAGCTCCTGCATTGAGTATCTGCCCTTGGTGCTCTGTGCATCATAGCAACCGGTTGTTCTGCTGTTCAGTCAATTTGCATATTACCCTTTTATGGAGGCACCAAAACTGGCTCTCCAACATCCCCAAAGGGGTCCTGGGTTATGAGAGGGTGCAGGCCAGGCCAAGGGACCTCATGGGTGCATGATTGGAGTCAGGGAGGGACTGTGGGTGGGCTCCAGGGCATGTCTGGCCCTTCTTACTGAGTCCTGATCATCCAGACCCCAGCAGCAAGCTAACCTACTGGTCATAGCAACTGGTCGACTGTCTGCCCCCTGGTGGTCAGTGCATGTCATAGTGAATGGTTGAGCGGCCTTAGCATATTAGCATATTATTCTTTGATTGGTTGAACGGATGACCGGACAACCATACACTTAACATATTAGGCTTTTATTATATAGGATAAGCAGCCAAATGAAGAACCTTTTTTCCTAAAAAAAGATTAAGAATGTAAAAGTACATCTTAATATTTAAAAAGCATTATTAAAAATCTATAACAACTTTATGACAAAATCTGCATTTGAAAAAGGCCTGTAAAAAGAGCAGGACAAAATTGCCCTCATCACCTTTTACTTTTTCTTGTCAGAAAAAAGTGTATGCATCTCTGGAACCACAAATGATTTTAAAATAGGCATTTATAAAATGGCAAGGAGCATTTCACGGTAAGTTTGTTTTTCTTTATAATCGTTGGCATTGCGGCCATCAGTAGGTCACAAGTAAAACCTCTCTAGCTAAAAGCAAAATGGAATATAAAGTTCTGAACTGCATTAGGTCTGCTGCCTGCGTTTGGCTGATCTCATTTTTTCAAAACGTGACTCCATTTCTTCTAAGACCTTAGGTGTATATCGCACTACTAATTTAACCTTTCCTTGAGCTGCTTTTAGCAGTTCTACAGCTTTTTCGTGATGTTCTCCTTCCACGCTCTAGAAAAAAATACACACACACAATTAATATATAGGTTTTGCAATTCATTCAAAATGCAAAAATGCTTCAAATACATGCAAGTAAAAAAGTTTTAATGTTATATCATTTCAATACTATAAACCTATGAAATAACCTAGCTTTACCATTTTAATCAGTGTAAAACCCTCTGCTAAATATATTATTTGTAGTCCAAGAACTGGTTTCTAAGATCCAAATAACAGGACATACGTTTACATGCTCTATTATTCCACCATTCTATAAGACTAAAATGAGGGGTAGACTTCTAATTTAACATACTGCCTTTACTACTAAACAGCTTAATTGCTTCATAAAAATCACACTAAGCATTGCTAATTTTCACCGGAAAAAAGCTAAACACACATAAAGCCTTTAAACTGTATCACTGTACTAAACAGTACTGCCTAGGATTCCTTTAAGGGATTTGTAAACTACAAAGCTTTGCCCTCTTATATCTTCTGTTTCTATAACTCATGTACTCCCCCAAGTGGTCACAACACATTACTACAAATAGAAGTAAAACATGCTTACCACTCCATTAACAGAGAGAAGTTGATCTCCTCGCTTGAGGCCCCCATGTCTATCAGCAATTCCTCCTGGGATTATTCGAGATATATAGATAGGAGAGTTTTGTTCTTTGCCTCCCATGATATTGAACCCAAGGCCCTCTTCTGTTTTTGGAAGCTCAACAACTCGAGGATGAGAATGTCCTTCGCTGGCAGCAAATGCAGCAACAGTAGCCTGAAAGAAAATTTTACGTTTAAATGTATCACCTTTGTTTATTTCAGCTCTTACATCTTTTACCTATTTTTGAGGCGCATACATTTGATGTTTGAATATCCACAAACTCATTGGCAGTTCTGAGAAGGTGAGCTTAGGAGAATGGTGTTTTAGAGGAGATAGATAGCTGGGACTGTGTAGGAGGTGTTGATCCAGGTCAATGGATCCAGGTCCCAGAAATACTGTGCAGTAGTTGGCAGGCAGGCTTGGAGGCAAATGAACACTGCCATTAAAGAGGAGAGCCTCTTCCCGCATGTGCCAGCAGTCTGAGATTTGGGGCTGGAGAGCCCAGCTGCTTCACAGGCCTTTGTACAGGACACAGCCTATCTACATAACCTGTAAGGAGTGGGTGTTCTTACATGCAGTCCTTCTGGCTGCTGTACCATTTGTTATTTACACTAAATAACTCATGAGAAATAACTCAATATTGAGAAAAAGAGTACATATAAACATGGACTTTCTTGTTGCTTTAGTTAACTATCTAGTTACTACTAGATTTAAGGCTCAGATATTCAGTAAGCTGTGAAAATCACATAACTCAGGAATAAAAGCCAAGTTTCTAGCCCTCCTTGGTTTAGCTCAGGGGATAGAGTGTCGGCCTAGGGACTGAAGGGTCCCAGGTTCAATTCCGGGTAGGGGCACATGCCTAGTTTGTGGGCTCGGTCCCCACTGGGGGCGTGCAGGAGGCAGCCAATCAATGATTCTTTCTCATCATTAATTTTTCTATTTCTCTCTCTCCTCCTTCCTCTCTAAAATCAATAAAAATATATATATATATTTTTTAAAAAGCCAAGTTTCTGTGTTTTTCCTACTCTGTCAAACTACACCCCCATGTTTAAGTGTTTGTATTCAACAGAGGATCCAGTATTTCCTTATGCAAACCAGTAACTCTCAATGAAAAATTACCTGCTAATAACTAATTCTAATATAAGTCACTTACTGACATTAACTTATTCTAACTAGATATGGACATTGAGATAATGTAGGAATTACTGAGGAAATTCCCACATGAGAAAGCACAGGAAGCCTGCCACCTTTATAGCTTTGAAGAGATAATCTACTAGTGACATTACCACATCTTTGCAGAGTGAAGGTAAAGAAAGCAAAGAGAAACCAGGGAAGCATTCCTCCAAAGTCTATCATTTATTTTTTGTGTGGTCTGAGGTAGGTAACAATCTGATGCTTTCTCACCAATAAAATGAGGATAATTCATACATCAAACCTTTAATGAAAATATATATAATCAATGATACAATTAAATATGCATACGATATACTGCTATATATTTTATGATATGTGTGTTATTGTGTGCAACTGCATTTTTTTAAAAATATATTTTATTGATATTTTACAGAGAGGAGGAAGGGAGAGAGATAGAGAGCTAGAAATATCGATGAGAGAGAAACATCGACCAGCTGCCTCTTGCACACCCCCTACCGGGGATGTGCCCACAACCAATGTACATTCCCTTGACCGAAATCAAACCTGGGACCTTTCAGTCCGCAGAGGGACGCTCTACCACTGAGCCAAACCAGTTTCGGCTGCAACTGCATTTTTAATGTATTATCTAATAGGCATGATAGATTATCTTTTGTAAAGACAATAAAAAAAGATGCTATTTCTTAATACTTGAGATGGTCCAGTAGAGGTTGAAAGACGTTGTTAGTTTTCAAAAAAAGCCTATTATGAATCTAATAATTGTATATTAAAACCTCAAATTTTAAAAGAATTTTCTCACTTTTAGCAAATGAAAAACTTTACCTTTGCAGTAGCATTAGCTCTCACTTCAGGACTGCTGCTGATGTCCACAGTCTCATAGACATGTTCATAGACCTACAAAACACAAAGTTCGTGATTTTAAATCTCAGAAAACACCATGCTTAAGTTGTACGAAGTTAATAAATGTGCTAAAATTTTATGTTAAACTATGCATCTTTGTGAAATGTTTGTCTAACAGAAATTTCAAAAATTAGGTTCTAATGTTTTTCTGAAGTTTGTTTAAGAAATTCTGAACTCAAATTTCAGAGTGTTATCTAATTTACTCAAGTTTTTAGTAAGCTTTAATCCCATGTACTCACCTCTCTTACAGCATTGCAGAATTCACTTTGCAGGACTCTTTGTAAAGCCTGAAGTTTCTGTGGTGGTACCTCCCCACTCCTTTGTAGTTTTTCCAACAATTCAATTGCTCTACAGATATCTAGAGTTAAACAAATACACACTCATAGATAATTTTCTCTGAAGATTCTCTAATATGTAATTGAGTAGCAGTTAGGATTTGTTCCTCAAGGATGAACAAGAATAGGAAAAACATAAAAAAAAAAAAAAAAAAAAAAGAGGGTGAACTTGTGTGTGTGTTGGGTAAGGGGGAGGGAGATATGTATATACCTGAGGATGGGAATGTAAAATCTGAGAATAATGCTGAATTTTACAGTAGATTAAAAAGAAATACTGCTATTATACATGTACAAAATCTAGGGAAAAACATCTTTGAGTGAAAGGAAAACTGAACGTGAAATACTAGATGTCACAAGAAAGAATTGAGGCAAAAAACATGATAGACAAAGACTGTTTATGATTCAGAAAAGCTGACAGTATATCAGTAACTATGTAGACAATAAAAATTTACCTATCGTTAGTATTAATAATCAAAGCATTAAACAGAACAAAACACTCTGTGTCAGTAAAGTCACTGTTAATTTTCCGAAGGAAAACAGAATATATATGTAGATAGGAACTATTCCATTGCAGATGCAGTTAGTGGCAAACGTATTTATAACAATGGTACAAATGGTCTGTTTTCAACTTAGAATCAAAACAGTACTTTAACTGAGATAATCAAATACATGTTTACAAAATAGAAAAATAAAAACAATTATTTCTGTCAACCTGATTTCAATACTAGCTGGGTAATCTTGGGCAAGTTACTTAACTTCCCTGTGTCTCATTTTCTCTACTGAAAAATAGAAACAAGAGTACCTTCCTCATAAAAATTACTCAATGAATAAAAAAATTCATTAAAAAGGGTCTGTCATAAAAGCAAGCATAAATATTATGCTACGTTTGGCACCAATTAGAAATATTGAGGGATGGTACACATTTATACAAATACTAGAGGACCAGTGCACAAATTCATGCACGGGTGGGGTCCAACCAGCCCGCCCCAATGGGGGCAGATGGAGCTGGGCTGGGGGGGAGGGGACACAGGTCAGCTGACTGGCCCCGCCCCTGATCAGAGTCAGGGGGTGCTGATTGGAGCTGGGTCAGCCATGGGGAGAGGCCATAGGAGGTTGGCCACTGGCCCTGCTCCTGATTGGGAGGTGGGGGGGTGTTAAGGCCGATCAGGGACAGGGTTGGCCGGGGGAGGGGCCGCCCCCAATCGGGGCCTTTGGTCAGCTGCAGTATGCATCAAAGTGATGAGTAGTTCCAGCATTCTGGCTGCTTGACTTTTATATAGAGAGATATTAAGCATGTTAGACAATTCTCACTGGGAAATGTGAGGAAAAGTATTCTATGAATTAAGAAATTTTATGAAATTCAGAGTTATGTTTACAACACTGTTAATGGTTATCTTTACTTTTATTTTCTTTCTCTTTACTGTTTTTGTAAACCCACGGGGATAGAGTACCTATTACTCTACTATTCCTTGCCCCCCACTCCCCCCAAGTGGAAAGACTACAACTTTTTCTTTATAGAATTACTATGGCCTTGTTTATGTTTGCAGCTGGAAAACTGGGAATGAATGTAATGAGAAAAAAGTAAATCTGCCAATTTTAGCTTAAACTGATGTTGATCAAATAAAATGGAAACAGATTTTCCTCATTCTGATATCTCATCTCTTGAATGGCTGGTGAATGGGGACTGTTGGTTCATTAATTATTTTAATTTACAGTTACAACATGCAATTAAAAATTTGAAAAAGTAAAATACTCTTTCCTGAACTTACACTGTACCTAACATGTTTAAATGTGTTCCACTGACTCATTTTTTAAAATATATATATTACTGATTTTTTTACAGTAAAGAGGGGAGAGGGATAGAGTTAGGGAATGAGAGAGAAACATCAATCAACTGCCTCCTTTACACCTCCCACATGGGAGGATGTGCCTGCAACCAAGGTACATGCCCTTGTCGGGAATTGAACCTGGGAACCTTTAGTCTGCATACCGATGCTCTATCCACTGAGCCAAACCAGTTAGGGCCTGACTCATGTTTTTTTGATTTAGAAGACATCCAGGGATCCTGATCATACGTACTCATTTTATACTGTAGGACTGCTGGGAATGTTTATAATAGAGTCTGTTAAACAGAATTCTAAGAATCAGAGGTGATGCAGAACTGACTTTCTTATCTGGCTAAATGACCACCACGAACAAGTTATTCATCCTACTAAGGTGCTGAGCGTTCTACTGTGGAACTGAAAAGAACTCTAAAAGAGCAAAATGGAATGCCAGAGGTTAAGTTTCACATTTCGTGCTGCATAAAAATGCAAAAGAGCCCTGACTGGTTTGGCTCAGTGAATAGAGCGTCAGCCTGCGGACTGAAGGGTCCCGGACTGCATTCCAGTCAAGGGCGCATACCTGGGTTGTGTGCTGGATCCCCAGTGGGAGGTGTGCAGGAGGCAGCTGATCAATAACTTTCTCTCATCATTGATGTTTTTCTCTTTCTTTCTCTCTCCCGTCCTCTCTGAAATCAATACAAATATATTGGAGAGGAAAAAAAAGAAAAGAAAAAAAAAAAGACTACCAACATGTTAGCATCCTACAACCGGCTTTCAAGAAAAACACCTACTTCCGGTAACACCAAACAGACTTGTTCCCATATACAAAGCACAGTGCCACTGTGCTCAGGATAAAATGTCACAGTCTCAGGCCTAAGTTAGTAAGTCCTCCCCTGTCAGAAAGGATGCATTAATTAATGGCCTGGTGGGCTGAGGGAAACAATGTCCTTCGCAAAGAGGTTTGCAAAAGTGAACACCAAGAGGAAGAAGCAATGTTAAGTGCACATTTGTTTGTGTGAATGCATCAGGGAAGAGGTTTCTCTAAGTATAGTAATTATACAAAACATATTCCTTTCTTAGAGCAGAAGTTACTTAATATTCAGACTGTCACTGCAAATGTCAATATTTGCAAGGTTTGTTTAATCTTCTTCCTAAACTCTGTTTGCTACTTTACTAGTATTCAAACGGTTTAGTCTGTACGCATCTTGACTCGTAACTAATGACTTTTACTGCGGGACTGCCAAAAGCATGCTTGCAATGGACTGAAATAAAGGATTTGGGGAGAAAAGTGTGGAATGTTGGAAGTCTGTTAACCAGGCCCTGAGAGGGACATATAACCATGCATCTTCACTGGCCTCTGGGTCTCTGATTCCGCAGTCTTATCTCCATAGCAAGCACCAGCCACAAGTTGCATGCGTAGAATTTGTAAAGAAGGACCGAGAATGAACTTTCAAATACTTGTACAATCTACCCCTCTTCCTCCTCGTTCTGGAACCTTTCCGAGACCAGATACATCAGCGGCATTGTTTCTGAAGCATCTGCGCTGTACCTGGGTGGGGCACCGAGGCCAGGAAATACTCCAACACTGCACACAGACAGGAGGAGTTGCGGTGCAAGTAATGACCGAGTTCTTGCGCGCAAATCGGAGGAGGGGGTGGGGTGGGGTGGGGTGGGGTGGGGGGTCCCGTGTGCGAGGAAGTGTGCGACCCGAGGGTGAGGGGGGCACCCTGGGTGTGTGCACCCATAAATGGGGGCTGTGCGTGCAGCCCGTCCCAACACGTCCCTGAATGCGGCGTCCGCTGGGCCCACCCGGAGGGGGTGGGGGGTCCCGTGTGCAGTGTGTCTGCGAGGCGGACAGGTGGTGCAGCCTCGGTGGTACCGGTCAGGAAACGCCTACCCGGGGGCCGGGCGCCGGCGGGAGGGGCAGCCTGGCTCCGGGCCTGGAGCCTGGAGCCCGGGCCTCTCCTCCTCCTCTCCTGCGGTGACACGGCAGTGCTCCAGCCCCCTCCGCCCTCCTCGGTTCGGGCCTCGGCAGCACTCACCCCGTTCCAGCCGTACAGGTTCCCCCAGCGCCGCCATCTTCTCCCTCCGCCTGCAGACCCGCCGGAAGTGACGACACAGGGGCGGCGGGCGGGGGCGGGGCCGAGCGGAGCCGGGAGGGCGGAGGCCGGCCAGTATCGCGAGAGGCGGGGCTCGGGTCCCGGGATCGCCCGGGCGGCTGGGTGGAGCGGCACCTGAGCGCGGCTGCGGGAGCTCGGCCTTGCGCCGCGCCTTCGGCGGTTCAGAGGTTCCCGGATACCGCCCTCCTGAGGCTGGAAAGAACCCTTTTCCCGGATCGTGTTCCCTGCCTCCGATGCAAGCCTTTTCCCGGGCTGCCCTTGTCCACTTTCAGCCTCAGGGACCCCTCTGTGCGACTGCCTCCTGTCTCCAAGATCCTTTTTCTTACGAGACTCTGAGATACCGTGACACTGAAGGGTAAATAGGACAAGTGAAGCATTGCTTTAATTTTAAAAAAAAAAAAAAAATCCAAGGCTCGAGCCCTGGCCGGGTTCGCTCAGTAGTTAGACCCCCCCCTCCCCCCCCCCGACGGAAGGGTCCCCAGGTTCCATTCAGGTCAAGGGCACGTGCCTGGGTTGCGGGGCTGGATCTCCGGTAGGGGGCGTGTAGGAAGCAGCCAGTCACTGATTCTCATCGTTGTTGTTTCTATCTCTCTCTCCCTCTCCTTCCTCTCTGAAATCATTAAAAAAAAAACCCACAAAAACCCAAGGCTCGAATCTTCACTATAAATCTATTTGAGAGTAAGGATGAAAAGTAGAAAAATCGTGAAACACACCTGTGTGACCAAGGGAAGAAGGCCCTTGGGGGCAAGTAATTTTAAAAAGTTGACCTAGCCCTGGCTGGTGTGGCTCTGGGTTGGTTGTCATCCTGGTCAAAAGGTTGTGGTTGGATTCTGGTCAGGGCACATGTCTGGGATGCAGCTCGGCTTGATCCCTAGTAAGGAGTGTACAGGAGATACCTGATGTTTCACTCTCACACCCATTTTTCTCCCTTTCCTCTGTCTCTAAAAGCCAATAAAAACATTTTTTTTAAAGAGTTGATCTAGAATCTTATGTAAATAAAATACTGTGAAGTAAGTATTATTTTTAATGTATTACAGATTTTTAGGGCCAGTTGTGAAAATTTCATGAACCAAGAATATGTTTGGTCCTGAATTTAAATTAAATATTAATTTGCCCAGTATTTAAATTCCACGGACATTTATTCAAGCCCTAGTCTGTGCTGATATGTTAGGTGCCCTCACACATAAATTTTCAACACTTGAGGACTGGATTATTTTTTAACAAACTCCTGGCCAACTGGTTCCATTCAGCGGTAGTGTTTTCTCCCAATCCACCATGACTGTCACCACTAGACTCCTGTCCCCTCCTTGGATTCTAATTTCATCATCAAAGGTTTCTGTTCAGAAACTTTCAATGGGTTTCTACATTTTGTGTTTCTAAAGACTTCATAGTCTGACCCTAACACATCCATCTAAACTAATTTCTAGTACCCCCCAAGTGCTACCGCAACTCCAGTGGAGGTGGTAAAATAACCTCCCTTATCTGCAGTCTCACTTTCCATGGTTTCAGTTATTTGTATTCAACGGCAGCCCAAAAATATTAAATGGAAAATTCCGGAAATAAATAATTCATAAGTTTTAAATCGTGTGCTATTCTGAGTAGCATCATGAAATCTCGAGTAGTCCTGCTCCATCCCACTCGGGCAGTGAATCATCCATTTGTCCAGCATATCCATGCTGTATTATGCTCCCGTCCCTTAGTCGTGTGTAGCCTTCTCCGTTATCAGATCCACTGTCCGGTGTTACAGTGTTTGTGTTCAAAGCACCCTTGGTTTACTTAATAATTGCCCAAAATAAGAATAATGATGCTAGTAATTCGGATACGGCAAAGAAAGCCATAATGTGCTTTCTGTAAATGAAATGGTGAAAGTTCTTGATTTGATGTGGAAAGAAAATCGTATTCTGAGGTTGCTAAGATCTGTGGTAAGAAAAAAAATCTTTTATTTGTAAAATTGTGCAGAAGGAAAAAGGAATGTGTGCTAGTTCTGCTGTCCCATTTCAACCTGCAAAAGTTACAGCCACAGAGCTAGTACAATCGAAAAGGCATTATGTTCATTGGGTGGAAGACATAAAAAAAAAAAAAAAACTTGTCTGATTGATTATTAATTTCTCACTGTTTCTAAGTTAAGATTACACTTTATCATAGGTATGTATGTAATGAAAAAAATAGTTTATTTAAAGCTTGGTACTATATGCAGTCTCAGGCACCCACTGGGAGACTTGGAATGTTTCCTTCATGGATAAAAAGAGACTGTTATTCAAAAGCCATATTTATTTTTGCTTCCAAGTCTTCATTTAAGTTGTTCTTATGTGGAATGTCCTTCATCTCCTCCAGTTCTCTAAACTGTACACATCTTCAAATTTGAGTTCTTCCTTCAGGTCCCTATGAAGACATAACACTTCTATTAAGCTTCCTTTTCTCTATACTGTTTCCCTTCTTTGGTCCCTGATAGCCTTTATATCCTGCAAATAGCACTTATGTGCCTTCCTCTTATTCACTGTCTGCCACAAGTGTATTCAAGAAATGTTTATCAAATGTCTGATGTCTACCAGGTGCCTTGCGAGGCACTGAGAATACCATGTAGAACATGTAGAGCTAGATAGACAAATGCAGACATTGCCTTTATTTCTTTTAAAAAATATATATATATTTATTTATTTCAGAGAGGAAGGGAGGAGAGAGAAATAGAAACATCAATAATGAGAGAGAAAAATTGATTGGCTGCCTCTGCACATCCCCACTCGGGATCAAGCCCACAACTTGGGCATGTCTCCTGACTGAGAGTTGAAACATGCGCTCTTGGTTCATAGGTCAACACTCAACCACTGAGCCACATTAGCTGGGCTCCCCTTATTTTTTCAAATGCATTCTCTTCTCCATCTTGCAGCTCCACTTTTTTGATGACTCCACTTACATACATATTCCTCTGCCTGACATTGTCTTACAGTTCACTGATTTTTAGAGCTTTTCTCTATTTCCTATTTTCAATATACAATATTCTCTTAAACCCATCCAGTTCATATTTTATCTCCAATGTTGTGTTTTTTTTAATCTCTAGTAATTTTATTTAAGGATGTGTGCGATTCTACATTTTTATGTCCTTACTTAACATGCTCTATCTTTTCTGTAGTTTCTTGAACATGTAGAACACAATTATAATGACAATTTTAATGTTCTTCTCTACTAATTCTACCATCTGTGCTATTTTGGGCACAACAGTGCTAAATCAAATATATTGATTGATTTTTCTCTTCATTGTGGCTCATAATTTCCTTCTTCTTCCACGACTGTTGTATACATGGCCAGGCATTGTGAAATTACTCTTTTGGGGGTGCTGCATATTTTTATAGTCTAATATTTTTGAGGTTTCCTATCTATATTTCAAAAAACAGTTTTGTTCTTTTGAGGCTTGATTATAAGCTTTGGAAAGTGGAGCCAGTTCAGCATTTTGTGTAAGGCTAATTGTGTCCCACAACCAAGGGCCCTCTGAATCTTCTCTTCCTGGTGAAAACAGGAACTATTCTCATGAACTGGGGTTGTGAATTATTTACTTTGTCCTTTTGAATGATTATTTTTGTGTCCTTGAAATTTTCTTAACATACATACTCATGATGAAATTTCAGAATAAATAAAAGGTTCTAAAAGTTTTCAGAGATAATAAGAATAATAAAAAGCCACATTCTAAGGACTGGGAATCATAACAGCTTTGTATCATTGCTTATTGATAGCATAGGTAAGGAAGAAAAACTGCTTTAGGAGCTTTTGATAAAAATATTCAATTAACTAACAACCCATTTATATTTTATGCATAAAATAAATGAAAGAATCAGCTATTGTGTAAGGAGAGATCCCCTAAAATGTCCCTCCCTAGCCTAGCTTGTGTGCTCTGTGGTTGAGCATTGACCTAGGAACCAACAGATCACTGGTTGGATTCCCGTCAGGGCACATCCCAGGTTTCGGGCTCTATTGCCAATAGGGAGTCTTCAGGGGGCAGCTGATCAATTCCTCTCTCGTGGATATTTCTATCTACTCCTCTCCCTTCCTCTCTATCTAAAAATCAATAAAAACGTATTTTTAAAAAATAAATGTCCCTCCCTAATTCACAGATGCTCAAGTATTAGTGTTGGAGAGACCTAGAGAGTACAATTCCTTCACTTTAGAGAAAAGACTGATTGCTGGCTCATTTCTCAAAAGAGGGCATTGTGAGTATAAATGAGGCAGAGCTGCTTTAGCTTTTATGCCTCTGTCAAGTTATTGGATTACCAGGCTTTCTAATCAAGACTCGTTCTTCCTGTGGAAGAGCTCCTCTTTACCTGTTGCTTCCTTATATTACTTCCTCCTTCAGAGAAGAAGAGAAACAATCAAATTAGAATAGGAAGACTGAGTCTTGATAAACCTCAGGATGCTCAGCTATGCAAGTTTAGTTTTTGTTTAAAAAAATTAAAGTAGGGCCACTGTGGTTCAGTGGTTGAGTGCAGACCTGGAACCAAGAGGTCACCAGTTGGATTCTCGGTTGGGACACATGCCTGGGTTGTGGGCTCAATCCCCAGTAGGGGGTTTACAGGAGGTAGCTGATCAATGATGTTTCTCTCTTATCAACTTTTCTATTTCTCTAATCTTTTTCCTTTCTTTCTCTCTCTCTAAAAATCAATACAGGAAAAAATAAAAATATTAAAGTCCTCAGTAGGCTAAGTATGCAAGTGTTCTTAATCCATTGCAAAGACAATGGATTGAGTCATCAATTAAGAGAAAAAGAAAGTGAGTGGGGTAAATTAGGGGAAAGAGTCGCTCTCTAGAGAAGCTAGGGAAATGAAAAATAATATGAGGAAGCAAGACACTCCCAGTAAAATGTTTTACTATTTTTTTTTTTTGCCTGTTAAACCATATACAAATATGCACTCCACTATAGAATTGACATTTAAAACAATTATGTCTTTTTGCGGAGTAAAACATTACTCT